TCCCCGCCCCCCAGCATCCTCACCTGGTCCATGCAGCAGACAGGGAGAGAACAGCTAACGGCACTTCTCTGGTAGAGAAACTAAAGCAGGCATAGGGCATATGATGATGGTTTGCACTGGAAAGGCAGGACAAGAGAATTACAATTCACCGAGTGCCTGTTGCATGCCAGGCATTGCACTATGCACTTTCTAGCCATCTCCCTCTTCGGTTCTCACGAGATTGTTCGTGGCCTCCCCCATTCCACAGGTGAGACTGAGGACCTAAGTTAAGTGACTTGCCCAAGTCAGAGAGTTAGGAGGAGGGAGACCCTGGTTTTTTAATCCAAGTCTATCTGTCTCCACAACCCATACTCTTTCTAGAAACTGCACACTTGCCCAGATAACGCTAATTCTACCCCTCCAGGGTCCCTACCCCATCTCTGCTAGACTCATAGGTGGAAGAATTCAGACCTCAGAGTGGCTCTTGACTCCACCACCTGCCAGAGGTTGGCCCCACATACGCCCCCATGTTTCTCCAGCGGGCATCATAGGGTCTCCTGGCTCTGTGCCTTAGAGTCTCAGCCCTCTACCCCACTTCTTCTATACCCTCCCCAGAGCCAGAGACTGCAGAGCCAAGAGCCACGAGCTGATCCTCCAAAAAGCCAGACCCACAGAAAGTCAAGAGGCCAGGAGGGAGCTGTGAGCCCCCTTCTGTCCCTACCCCCAGTGAGATGTAGCTTTGATGTCAAAGGTCACAGGGTCAGGGGTCAGGATATCCAGGCTCTCATTCCCAGTTACTTGACCTCCTGAAGCTTCAGTTTCCCTATCCGTAAGACAATGACAACACTCTCTTGCTCCTCAAGTGAAAGAATTATGAAATGATAGTTCAGCATCTGTATTTTAATACTCTGTGTCATTACATAACTATTTAGTGATGCAGCCACCTCTGGCACAAAAGAAGTCATTCTGTGCCTATTAAAGGACTAATCCCCTCAAGCATTCCTGGAAATGAGACACCCACTGTGTTAGGCTTCTAGGCTCTCCTGTCCTTCCCTTGGCCCTTGAGTCTTGGAAGGCTGATTTTTTTCCTCCCATCAGGATCCGAGATCGTCCTTAGGGAGCCCCCAGGCTGGTTCATTCCCACTGTAACTCCTGAGGGCTCTTGACCCTCTCTCTCTTCTCCTCTTCTTCCTCCTCAATTTGGGCTCCCCATTCCAAGAAGCCTCAGGAAAAGGTTTAGGGAACAAGGTTTCACCTGCGTAAAACCCCTGCTCTGACCCCTGGAGCTCAGTAGCGGGGGGGAAGAAGGGGAAGGGGACGTGGAAGCCTCGAAAATTCAAGACACCTGAGTTCTAATGCCAGCTCTGCCACCAGCCAGCAGTCACCCTGGCCAAGCCATTGAGCTTTAATTTCCTCACTACAAAATGGAAACAGTAAACTCTGCCTACATCATGGGATAGTATAGGAATAAATGAGATGACAACTTTAAACATGCTTGACACAGTATATTGTAGTTTTCAATAGTGGGTAGTGACCATTATCACCCTGTACAACATGACTGATGGGGTCTAGGCATCTCCATCATTTCCCAACAGTGAGTCTCATCTCCCAAGGAAAGGGAGAAGAGAACGCCAACCCTATTGAACACCTCTTATTTGTCATGCTCAGTGATAGATGGGGCTTCACCATAAGGCTGTGAGGTTTGAATCAGCCCCATTTCACAGATGAAGAAACAGAGCTTCAAAGAGATCAAATGATTTATCAGAACGATGCAGCTGGAAGTGATGAGGGCAAGGCCTTCTCTCTCTTCTCTCTGCTCCCCACTCCTCCACAGAGGTTATGGTAGAGGGAGGGGCACAGGCTTGGGACCCCTCATTCAGACTCATGGAAGGGACCCAGCCAAGAAGATAAGCATTTCTGATGTCAGTAGAAACCAGAAAGTAAACAGGATTCAGTCCGTTCCCAGGGCTTTGTGGGGACACACGTGTATGAGCAGCAGCCATTTCCAACAGAGCTCTGTTCCGGAAAGCAGGACAGCAGCCAGGACTGGGCTGTCTGGGATTTGTTTAGTTATCTGAACATGTGGGAGGCCAGAGCCAGTGGGCAGACCACACCTTGCCTCTCATCTATCACTCTCTGGGAAGGTCTCCTCTGCCCAGGCCCTGCCTGCCCTCACCTGCCTTCTGACTACAGCTTGTGATCAAGGTTCTCATTCACCCTGTCCCCATGGGTCCCTTCAAACTACTCATTGGACAAGCAAGGTACTAGATTGAGATTACAGAGTGTGTGTTTGTATGTGACCTGAGAGAAAGTGTGAACAGACTGTATCAGCAATGACCTTGGACAGCTGATGTACTCATTCTGCTAGTGTGTGAGCAGCCTATGCCTGCACTCCTAGGAGTGTGGCTGTGCGTTCCACTAGATGTGTGTGGGTGTGGGTGTCTGTGCAGAATCCCCTGATCACTACTATGGTGTGTTTGTGTGCCCCATTAGGCATGGTTGGGGGCATGGAAGATTGCCTGAGTCCCCTGACCACCTCTATGCCTGTGTTTGCGTGTCATTCAGGGGGTTTACCATGCCACAACAGCCTCAACAAACTCTGTATGAATACATATGTTTGTGTGTGTGTCCTGCGGGTATAAGCCAGTGGATACTTTCATCAAGTATCTACACACGTTCGTGTGTGCTTGGAGTGTCCTTGCACACCTGCATGTGTCCTGTGAGAGTGAACAGAACCCAGCACGGGCTGGCACGGGCTGGAACGTGGCAAGGAGTGTGTGTCCTGCGGGTCGCTGCTCACGCCCCGCTTGTCTTCCGAGCCTGCGTGAACGAAGGGCTCCCGGGTGGCCTTGCCTGCCCATGGCTGTGCGCGCGCGGGGTCCCAGGCTGGCGTGCGCGCCGGTGTGAGTGCGAGTGAGTGCGGCGCGGCTCGGCTCGCTCGGCTCCGCGCCGCCCGCGCAGCCAGCACACTCACACTGCTTGGTTGCTACCGGGTGACGCGGGCTGGGCCCGCCCCCTGCCTGCTGGCCCCTCTCTCTC